ATGAGTGGGGAGAGGTTGAACACTTGAATAAGTAAAAACAGGCCAAGCATACTCCTCCCATGCTTTCCCAATCACCCCTATTCTCCCTCTTGCTTCCCTTCTCTCTCTCTCTCACATGAAATCTGACTTTTAGGGTTAAGAGAGCATCATGGGGTGTCAATTATGTCAGGGTATGGTTTGAAGGTCAAGAGGGGGGCCCTCAGAGTAAGTNCTCACTTGAAATCTGAATTTTAGGGTTAAGAGAGCATCATGGGGTGTCAATTATGTCAGGGTATGGTTTGGAGGTCAAGAGNCACATGAAATCTGACTTTTAGGGTTAAGAGAGCATCATGGGGTGTCAATTATGTCAGGGTATGGTTTGAAGGTCAAGAGGGGGGCCCTCAGAGTAAGTGGAGTCGTGTGGGGGAAATGTCTAGACTTTCTGGGCAAGTTCTACCAGTAGAATGTCAAAAACCTACNGGGGGCCCTTAGAGTAAGTGGAGTCGTGTGGGGAAATGTCTAGACTTTCTGGGCAAGTTCTACCAGTAGAATGTCAAAAACCTACCAGTAGGTTTTTTTCTAGTAGGGTCTTCTACTGATAGGTTTTGCATGTCTTCTACTGGTAGGTCTTGCATGTCTTCTACCAATAAGTCTTTTCTTAAATTTGTCATACATTTTGATCCCACCATCCGATTGTGCTAAAATTTTGACACAATATAGAGGATATCAAGATCTAAAACTTTCATGTTTTTCATTTTTTCATATTCGAAGTGTATCATGGTACAAAATGGGGAATACCAAGGTATCGACACCAAATGGTGCGGGTGCCAATACCAAATTCTAGTAGACTTAGATTGTAAACCCCCACATGCTTATAGTAATATTATAATAAATTATGTAGAAATTTTAATATATGTAATGGCGTAGGAATGAATCATATGAGATATAACCGTATAAATCGTGATATTGTGGAAACCCGGATAAATATATGAAATTATTTGTAATAGAAGTTATACCAACCATGTTTGATGTGCAAAGGTATGTGGTATAAGTTTGGGATGATCTTGGAAGGATCAGAATTGGATTAGAAATGATAAATAGAGGAAAAAAACAGATTCAACAAAAGCATACCGATACGCGTACCGGTACACCAAAGCCAGACTATACCGGTACGCGTATCGGTACGTTGCAGTCCAGTAGTCATACGATACTGATACGCGTACCGGTACACTTTCACAGAATCCAGAAATTNCAAAGCCAGACTATACCGGTACGCGTATCGGTACGTTGCAGTCCAGTAGTCATACGATACTGATACGCGTACCGGTACACTTTCACAGAATCCAGAAATTTTAAGTCGCGATCTGGGTTTGATTTCTTCCACTATAAATACATAAAGACGTCCTATTTAGCCCCATTTTAAGACCTCAAACCCTAGAAAACCTTAGAGAGGAAGAAAGGAAGAGAAGAACACAAGATNGGTTGGAAATGGATTGGACATTGAAAACAGGTGAAAATGGACAGAAGCAGGCAAAGTGTACCGGTACGACGCTGTCCAGAGAACATATCGTACCGGTACGGCGCAGACCAGTAGCCATACCGTACCGGTACACCAAGATTCCATAAATTTTTAAGTCGCAAACAGTCGGTTCTGTTTCCACTATAAATACCTAAGGACGTCCCATTTAGCCCCATTTCAACACTTCAAACCCTAGGAAACTTTAGAGAGGAATAAAGAGAAAGAAAAACACAAGATCAAAAGGGATTTGCGCCTGGGATTGAATCAAAACCTAGATTTCTTCAAGATCACCATGGTTGGGGTTCCTTCCATTCTTGTCCATTGAGTCTAGGACATGTATGTATATGTATGTTTCCACTCTTAATCATAGGTATATGCTATGAAATCATGATTCCGTGAGATTTTTGCAATCATGACCACGTTTTAAATAAAGCTATGGTTTTATAATCATGACATTTTCTTTTCTTGGCATAAAACCCTAGTTNATGATTCCTTGAGATTTTTACAATCATTACCATGTTTTAAACAAAGCTATGGTTATGTCACCATGAGATTTCTATTCTTGTCATAAAACCCTAGTTTTCAAAAGAGATGGATTTTTCTCTTGATTATTCCTTTGTTCTTGACTTTGAAACCTTAGTGCTTTGTGTTGAGTAATAAAATGATATTGTGATGATCTCTTGTTTAATTTCTTAAATTGTTCTCTTGTATTACAAATNTTTGAAACCTTAGTGCTTTGTGTTGAGTAATAAAATGATATTGTGATGATCTCTTGTTTAATTTCTTAAATTGTTCTCTTGTATTACAAATGGTGAGAATTGGGGATTTTGGATTTTCTTGTGTTTTAAAGAAAATGTTCGTTAATACATCTCTTATATTGTTGTTGTAATGGACTTGAATTACATTCGAGCATTGCCGTAGAGTGTTAGAAGTTAGTCTATCCCAGTAGGGGTGAGATGGTTTCCTAACACTTGTAGTGGCATGTTGTTTATGAGAGCAACNTAATAAAATGATATTGTGATGATCTCTTGTTTAATTTCTTAAATTGTTCTCTTGTATTACAAATGGTGAGAATTGGGGATTTTGGATTTTCTTGTGTTTTAAAGAAAATGTTCGTTAATGCATCTCTTATATTGTTGTTGTAATGGACTTGAATTACATTCGAGCACTGCCGTAGAATGTTAGAAGTTAGTCTATCCCAGTAGGGGTGAGATGGTTTCCTAACACTTGTAGTGACATGTTGTTTATGAGAGCAACCATTATTGTTCACGTAAGTTCGAGACTGAGGGACGATATACCTTTCTTGGGAAGGATTCGTCAATGCCGTGGGAGATGGTATATGCCTTTCCTAAAGTGGTTTTGTGTGCTTATGATTGGGTGAACGAGGTAGAGTCGTGGTGTAGATTCATAGGAAACAACCAACATACATGAGAATATGAGATAACACTATTGAACGATTATGGTTATTGTGTGGAATTGGTTTCCTACAAGAGCTTATGGAGGTATGAGACTCTACAAGAACTTGTGGGAAACGGTTTATGGTTGGAAATAATTTATTATCTATAATTTGGTGTTATTACTTCACTTAACTTATTATTATGGTGTAAACTTGAGATCTATTAAAATGTTCCTGTTTTCTTTCAAAAGTTAATATAAGATATTTGTNAATGTTCCTGTTTTCTTTCAAAAGTTAATATATGATATTTGCGAAATAAGACCGACTTGTTTTACATGTTTTCTAAACCTTGTATGAGTTTGGGAGAATGTTGCTACAGAGCTTAGTGCTCACCTCCTACAAATAATATATTTTTTAGAATATGTGCTAGAGGAAAAGCTAGGAGTAGATGAGCAAGCACATTGAGAAGCTTCTATNTATGATATTTGCGAAATAAGACCGACTTGTTTTACATGTTTTCTAAACCTTGTATGAGTTTGGGAGAATGTTGCTACAGAGCTTAGTGCTCACCTCCTACAAATAATATATTTTTTAGAATATGTGCTAGAGGAAGAGCTAGGAGTAGATGAGCAAGCACATTGGGAAGCTTCTACAGAGGGGAACGTGGATCCCAAGGTGGACGTCTATATTCTCTTTTGTTCTAGACTAGGAAATTTATTTTGAACTATGTAAAGTCAATCCTTTGGTAATTCCGCTACAAGTTAAATTTGATTATTTTGGGATGCAATTGCAATAGCCTGACGTATTCTTTTGGATATGATGGCCATGGTTGGCCTATTCTTTTGGGGATAATATTGTAAATGTCATATTTGATGAATGAAATTTCTTATTTGATGAATTTATTTAGTTGCTCTCATGATGTGAATGATTTATAGATTGTAATGCCGTCTAAGGTGGNGATGAATTTATTTAGTTGCTCTCATGATGTGAATGGTTTATAGATTGTAATGCCGTCTAAGGTGAGTTTTGGGGCATTACATAGATATTGGTACCTATGATACCAAGTACTGCTACCTCATTGATTTCTTTCACTTTAAAGCCTCCTAATCCTCATGTAATGTGTTCATCTCTTTACCACTTATCCGTACTTAGTTGTAGAGTTTCGAAAGCCATCATTTACCCTATGATTACCTGCAACGTCAAAATTTTCACATTATTCATAAATTTGACTAACTCTAAGTAATTAAATGCAAAGTTGAGTTAAATTGCATGTAATGAGGCCATTAAATATGCAATATTATGCGCTTATCAAGATCCCCACANGTACTTAGTTGTAGAGTTTCGAAAGCCATCATTTACCCTATGATTACCTGCAACGTCAAAATTTTCACATTATTCATAAATTTGACTAACTCTAAGTAATTAAATACAAAGTTGAGTTAAATTGCATGTAATGAGGCCATTAAATATGCAATATTATGCGCTTATCAAGATCCCCACGTGCGCTAATAATAGTTTGGGTCTTTTAGGATGGTGGGCTTGACCCAATTGGATTTGTGGCTGAGCCTTTGTTGGTCTGCATCTGTAATCTAGGCATGGTCTAGGCCAAGCCCACCATTTGACCCCCATGCCCAAAGTCCAATGGGATTTGGGGGACAGGACATCAGTGAAAATAAATTTTGGGTTCTTCTTCTCCATGCCTCCTCTTGTCGTAAACTATTTCANGATGGTGGGCTTGACCCAATTGGATTTGTGGCTGAGCCTTTGTTGGTCTGCATCTGTAATCTAGGCATGGTCTAGGCCAAGCCCACCATTTGACCCCCATGCCCAATGTCCAATGGGATTTGGGGGAGAGGACATCAGTGAAAATAAATTTTGGGTTCTTCTTCTCCATGCCTCCTCTTGTCGTAAACTATTTCACTCCATAAATAGTCATGGTTTTTTTTAGTTCCTTCCACTCAACTGGGTTGGTGAGTATTTAGCTGGTAGAGCATAACCTTGTTTTGATTTTCGCTTAAAAAACTTGTCATCGTCCTCTATTACCAGTAGATACCTAGGGCTTTAAATAGGACCCTCACATACCCATATGAGGAGAAAGGTGAGATGTTAAGTGGCGCGCAGAGGGCGTCTGTAGGACAGGGGGCCGGTAAGAGTAGGAGGCAAGGCGTCGGGCGCAGGAGGAAAGGTGCTGGCGAAGGGGCGTAGGTGAGGTGCAGGTGGTGAGGCATTGCTAGTGGGCATNGTGGCGCGCAGAGGGCGTCTGTAGGACAGGGGGCCGGTAAGAGTAGGAGGCAAGGCGCCGGGCGCAGGAGGAAAGGTGCCGGTGAAGGGGCGTAGGTGAGGTGCAGGTGGTGAGGCATTGCTAGTGGGCATCGAAGATAATGGTGACAAAAGGGATGAGGCCCTAATTCTTGGCACATAAATTAATACAGTCCCGCAAGGCGTAGATGGCTCAAGTTTTGAGGGCATGCAAAGCAACATTACCCAATGAAGTGGGAGACAAAGGGTTTGTTTAGATTAGAAAAAGAATCAATCAAAGCTAGTCTAAGTTTGGAGAACCACTAGCTCACAGATCTCTTGAGGGTGGTAGGAAAAGCTTTGCACATAATTTCCTCTGGTATGTTATGCAGTGGCATGATGGATTTATAGGTGTCAAGGTGTTCTAGTGGATCTTTTGAGCCATCAACNAGATCTCTTGAGGGTGGTAGGAAAAGCTTTGCACATAATTTCCTCTGGTATGTTATGTAGTGGCATGATGGATTTATAGGTGTCAAGGTGGTCTAGTGGATCTTTTGAGCCATCAAAAAGTTCTACAATTGGCATTCTAAACTTTAGGGGAAGGGGTAGTTGGCCACATCAGCTATGAATGGCGTGTCAGTACGTCTCACAAGGTACTCGACCTTTTTCGTCCTTCACACCTTCATGGCATTGAAGACATCGCCCAATTGGTTCAGTATTCCCTTGATTTTTAAATCCTAGTGGTTGGGGACGCTCTTAGAAGGGTTGTTATAATGGCTTGCATGATCTATATGCTGGTATATCGGTGTATACCCTGCACCTAAAATTTTTTTCCATAAAGGGTGAGCCACGCTCAATAGGGTATCTCCTAAAGAGGTTACTCCCCAACCTAAATGCATATGAAATGTTCACATGCGACAATCAATCATTCAAAACATTCCAATCAAGAATATGCATTCAATGATAAGAATCCTATGTCATGCCATGAAATGAGATGAGACTCACTCATACACTTCAACCCGAGCCCTCTTTGACTCATTCAACACAAGGCAATGCAATGTGTATAAATTCATCATTGATGATATATGTCCAATGATCTTTTTAAAACAAAATCACGTGTCTTTGTCATAAAACAAAATCATGTTTCTTTGTTGGACGTTGCACATCGAATGACTATTTTATAAAGCAAAAGCATGTGTCTTTATTGGGTAGTAGACTTTTGGTGTCGCACCGTCGGCTCCACACACTGATACACTTTTTCAAAATTTCACCTCAAGGGAGTCTATGAACTAGATAGTCGAGGCTTGCACCTGAGGGAGAATGTAGCCCTGCTTGTTGTACTCGACACAAGTTTTTCATGCAACCGTGCAACTTAGTCAGAACTTCANGAAGGGGTAGTTGGCCACATCAGCTATGAATGGCGTGTCAGTACGTCTCACAAGGTACTCGACCTTTTTCGTCCTTCACACCTTCATGGCATTGAAGACATCGCCCAATTGGTTCAGTATTCCCTTGATTTTTAAATCCTAGTGGTTGGGGACGCTCTTAGAAGGGTTGTTATAATGGCTTGCATGATCTATATGCTGGTATATCGGTGTATACCCTGCACCTAAAATTTTTTTCCATAAAGGGTGAGCCACGCTCAATAGGGTATCTCCTAAAGAGGTTACTCCCCAACCTAAATGCATATGAAATGTTCACATGCGACAATCAATCATTCAAAACATTCCAATCAAGAATATGCATTCAATGATAAGAATCCTATGTCATGTCATGAAATGAGATGAGACTCACTCATACACTTCAACCCGAGCCCTCTTTGACTCATTCAACACAAGGCAATGCAATGTGTATAAATTCATCATTGATGATATATGTCCAATGATCTTTTTAAAACAAAATCACGTGTCTTTGTCATAAAACAAAATCATGTTTCTTTGTTGGACGTTGCACATCGAATGACTATTTTATAAAGCAAAAGCATGTGTCTTTATTGGGTAGCAGACTTTTGGTGTCGGACCGTCGGCTCCACACACTGATACACTTTTTCAAAATTTCACCTCAGGGGAGTCTATGAACTAGGTAGTCGAGGCTTGCACCCGAGGGAGAATGTAGCCCTGCTTGTTGTACTCGACACAAGTTTTTCATGCAACCGTGCAACTTAGTCAGAACTTCGTTCCAACTTTTTCCAAGCTCACCCATCATCCACCAAGTATGGTGTTTGATCGAACCATGCACACACATGACCACACTCATGCCCAATGCCCATGAATGTGACGCCAACATCATGCCCAATATACAATTAATGTCAAATGAGCAATTTCCACCATTCTATTGCCAATCATATCAAAAGCATATAATGTCCACAATTCATCATAATGCTAACATATCATAAAACATATATTAACATTATACCCAATAACAAATTCCAAGCATGTTAGCACATACTGAATGTCAATAACACACTTAATTCACAAGGCACAATACTAACACATAGCTTGCCCACATAATACCATTTTTTTCTAAGAAATCACATTATCTATGCAAACATACTTAATTTCACATTTGCATTTAATCAAACACCTTCAAGGCACCCAATCATGTAATCACATACATGCTCAATTGTCATCATGTGAAAGATGGAGAAAAGTTTTACCAATATTGAGAGAGATTTAGGGATCGTCTTCAAGCTTGCCGACATCATGCATTTGAAATTTGGACCCTAGTCGATTTCTTTTATAATGCCCTTCCTTCTACAATGCGTCAATTTGTTGAAATGATGGCATAGGGAGAATTCATGGGGTAAGAATTTCGACAAGGCATTTGAGTTTTTTGATACCATTCCTGAGAGTTCCCAAATGTGGGACTCAGCCTCACCAAATATTGTTGAAATCAAGCCATCTTCATCCTAGGGAGGAAAATATGTGTTAAAAGAGGATGATGACCTAAGAACTAGAATGGTTACTTTGTCTAAAAGCTAGATGCTCTAAAGACGAAAAAAATCATGGAAATTTCTATTGTGTCAACTACTGATCAGTTGTGTCAAATCTGCACTTTGTTAGGACATCCCACAGGGGAGTTTCCCTCCATTTCAACCTTTAAAGAGGTTTTGATGGATCAAACCAATGTCATTTCAAACAATAACAAGCCTTATTCAAACTCATACTCTGAAACTTACAATTCAGGGTGACAAAATCACCTGAATTTCAGTTGAAAAAACACCAGGTCTGTGAGTCAACAACCAAGTCCACCTCCACCACAATCTCATACTCAGCAGTCATATTAGTCTTATCAANATACTAACACATAGCTTGCCCACATAATACCATTTTTTTCTAAGAAATCACATTATCTATGCAAACATACTTAATTTCACATTTGCATTTAATCAAACACCTTCAAGGCACCCAATCATGTAATCACATACATGCTCAATTGTCATCATGTGAAAGATGGAGAAAAGTTTTACCAATATTGAGAGAGATTTAGGGATCGTCTTCAAGCTTGCCGACATCATGCATTTGAAATTTGGACCCTAGTCGATTTCTTTTATAATGCCCTTCCTTCTACAATGCGTCAATTTGTTGAAATGATGGCATAGGGAGAATTCATGGGGTAAGAATTTCGACAAGGCATTTGAGTTTTTTGATACCATTCCTGAGAGTTCCCAAATGTGGGACTCAGCCTCACCAAATATTGTTGAAATCAAGCCATCTTCATCCTAGGGAGGAAAATATGTGTTAAAAGAGGATGATGACCTAAGAACTAGAATGGTTACTTTGTCTAAAAGCTAGATGCTCTAAAGACGAAAAAAATCATGGAAATTTCTATTGTGTCAACTACTGATCAGTTGTGTCAAATCTGCACTTTGTTAGGACATCCCACAGGGGAGTTTCCCTCCATTTCAACCTTTAAAGAGGTTTTGATGGATCAAACCAATGTCATTTCAAACAATAACAAGCCTTATTCAAACTCATACTCTGAAACTTACAATTCAGGGTGGCAAAATCACCTGAATTTCAGTTGAAAAAACACCAGGTCTATGAGTCAACAACCAAGTCCACCTCCACCACAATCTCATACTCAGCAGTCATATTAGTCTTATCAAGTCCACCCCCACATAAGAATAGTTTAGAAGACACCTTGAATCAGTTCATTCAAAGTAAAAGAATTTTTAATACTTAGTCTACCAATGCATTTAATGATTTCAAAATTCAAACCTCACAAAATATTGAGGATATCAAGAGTCATCTAGCCAAGTTGACCCAGCCTTTGAGTACAACAGCAAAGAAAAAATTATCATCTCAACCTAACCCTTTGCAGGATCAAACCTAGGGTAATGTCGTGTCTTCTAAACCTTCTCTGAGTCAAATACAAGAAATTACCACATTGAGAAGTAGTAAGGTGATTAACAAGACCATTAAAGTCAAAAATCTAGAGCCCATTGCTGATTCAATCCCTGTGAATGAACCAATTGAGTCTAAACCAGTACTTGAAAAAGAAATAGAGTTGTCTGATGAAAAAGAAAAATCAAATCTTGTTCCTTTACCTTTTCCTCAAAGAGCTAAAAGACCTCAACCATTAAATAATCATGTTGAAATCTTTGAATTGTTTAAGCAAGTGAAGATTAATATCCCCATGTTGGATGCAATCAAGCAAGTTCCATCATATGCAAAGTTTTTGGAAGACCTTTGCACGGTAAAGAGAAGGATCAAAGTACAAAAAATAGTATTTTTGACTGAACAGGCTAGTGTTATTATTTAGCACAAGGCCCCTCTAAAGTACAAAGATCTTGTGAGTCCTACGATTTCATGCATAATTAAAAATTTTAGAATTGGGCAAGTTTTGCTTGATCTTGAAGCTAGTGTCAATTTACTCCCGTATACAGTCTATGAGCAGTTAGGGTTGGGAGAGTTGAAACCCACAAATGTCACATTATAGTTAACAGACTGATCTGTAAAAATTCTACAAAGAGTTGTTGAGGATGTGCTTGTTCAAGTTGATTAGGTTTAATTTGTCAATGGATTTTATTATTTTGGATATCTAGCCAGTTTTGCATGTCTCTATACAATTTCCTGTCATTTTGGGATGACCGTTCCTAAACACATCAAATGCATTGATTAATTGTATGAATGGAGTCATAAAACTTTCATTTGAAAATATGAC